GAGCAAGACTGTGGATGGCTTCCCTGCCCAGGTCAGGGCCCAGGTGGACAGGACCCCGTAATTCTAACACTGCCCCCCCCCCCACCTTTCTGCTCTTTTTCGCTCTCCTGAGGCACCAAATCCTGAATCTCATTAGCCAGATGGGCTCCCAGATGGCTTGGGGAGCTGCGACGGGGCCTGAGTCAGGACCAGGAAACAGGTGTGGCTTTACAAGGCAGCTCTGAGTCACCTGCTGCACCTGCCCCCACCTCAGGCAATTGAAGGCCAGGCCATCACCAACTCCCGTCCCTCCAGACAGCACTGCCCATAAACTGCATGCATCATCCCAGGGCACAGACGCAGCCCCCCAACTCCTAGAGAGGACTTGTGCCTCTGAGAGAGCTCACTGCACGGGTGGGACTGCAGGGTGGACACCCGAAAGGGAGATCTGAGGTAGGCGGGGCCACAGTAGGCAGGGCCGCAGTGGACAGGGAATGAAGATTTTCTAGGCCTTGAGTCCATGGCAGTGGAGGAGAGGCTGGGGGAGCTCGGCTAAGGGTGGGTTTGGGAGAAGAGTACAGTGCTTCCAGGCAAGGACAGCGCAAGCCAAAGAGCCCAGGGCTTGTACAATGACCAAGGCAAGACCATCAGAACAACAGCCCCATTCCACTCACTGTAGGATATTAGGGGAGACCTGAGCTTGCTTGGGAGCTGTGTCCAGGTTGGATGGTGGAGGAGAGGCCTTACTGACCACCATGACACTGGTGGAGGGTGTCCGCTAGTGAGGAGCTAAGGACCTTTTTTTTTTGGTGCTGGGGATCGAACTCACCACCTTGTACTTGCCAGGCAGGTGCTTATGCTGCTGAGCTAAATCCCCAGCCCTGACTAAGCACTTTAGAAGATGCAGATCTCAGCGTGGCTCTAGTGGCCCCAGGCTGGCCTCAAGCCACTTCCCTGGGGACGGGGGGGAGGGGTGTTGCAGTGTGAAACCTGGGCTCTGTACCCACTGTTCTGCAGGGCGCATTCATGTCCTCCGTCTCAGCGCCACAGGAGTAGGCAGTAGGCAGCGAGGTGCCTCGGATGGCCAGCAGCAACTCCAGGTACCTGTGACATAAAAACATTTCCTCACTCTCCCAGTAGTCATGAGGCCACGGTGGGGACCCGCAGGCTGTGTGCATTGGCCACTGTCCCCAGCCATGCCCTTTAAGAGCGCATCTTACCGACACCAACTCCTTGCCTGCATCTGCAGTGATTCGGACTTGCATCTGTTTGTTGCCTAATTTACTCACCGAAGATTTGCTGGGCGTCTGCATGAGACTCTGATTATAATAATCCCAACTACAGCTCATAGAAAACCCTCTAACAATACCGGCTTAAAGAAGAAAGACAAGCAATTGGGAAAGAAGCCCAAAGCAGGAGCTCAGGGACCCAGACCGAGGGTGACCTGGCACCTAGGGCCCTTGGGTCTCACTTTCTTTCATCTGAAGCCATCATGCTATGGTCCAAAATAGTCCCCACCTCCAGCTCTCGCATCCACCTTCTAGGCAGTGGGAAGAAAGGAGGACAGGAAAGAGCCGCCCATGTGTCCCCCCTCTTGGAATGCTCAGGGGTCCCTGCTACCCCACCACCCATCGGCTCCGGCTCCCTGAACTCACGGGCCTCTTTCTCGTGATCCGTGCATGTTTGAGTCTCCCCTAGAATGTCACCCCCCACCCCATGAGCTTGGGGACTTCTGCAGTTCACGTCCCTGCTGCAGCCCCAGTGCCAGGTCGGTGGGAGCACAGGTTCCCAGTGGGTTGCAGTGCAGATGGCCTCAGGCCCCTTGCTTTTGGGGGTTGTCAGATTTGGGTTGTTTTTCTGGGTGGTGCTGAGCAGAACTTCTAAGGAAAGATGAGCCAGCTCAGCAGGGTGAGTGGGGTGAAATGCGGCTTTCAGCTTGATTTCCATTATTCTAATGGTGACCCATTTTGTCTGCCACACACTGGGCCATCTTGAAGATGACAAGTTGACAATGACTCTCAATGGGTCATCGCTGAGAGTGGAGCCCATTAGAACACTGGCCGTGGTTCCAGCACAGCTTGTACTGGGAAGCAGGGCTGTCAGCCCAGTCACGCTGCGCTCATCTACCTGATGGCCCTGCTGACTGTGGGAAGCCCAGGCTTCCCGTTCCCGCCTGTGCGGGGTGGAGGGAGGGTGCGGGGGACAGTGTGAGGCACCAAGTATTTCAGGGCTGGGGTCCCCGCCATGCTCAGTGTTGATACAGTTCCCCTCACCTAGACAAGGTGGAGCAGCAAGTGCTGCGCCCCATGGAGGAGGACCCTGGACCCTGGAGGAGCCAGGCAGCAGTGTGTTTACAGCGTAGAGGAACCTAGCTATCCACTGGAACCTTTTTTTTTGGTACTGGGAAATGAACTCAGGACCTTGCACTTGCCAGGCAGACACTGTACTACTGAACTGTATTCCTGTGTCATTGTTGCTTATGGTTTTTTCATGAGACGATGTGAAAAATATGGCCAAAGGGTGGTTTCAGGTTCTGTTTCATTTTTGTTTGTGTGTCTGTCTGTTTATGTGTTGAACAAGAGTCCTCTATATTGACCAGGCTGGGTTTCGACTCTTGGGCTTAAGTGAGCCTCCTGCCTTAGCCTTCTGAATAGCTGAGACCTGATTTTTGACTCTTTTAAAATTAAATGTTCTTAGCTGGGCATGGTGGGGCACAGCCTCTGGGTGGCCGAGGCCAGACGATCTCCAAGTTTGATCTCAGCCTGGGTGATTTAGCTACTTAGCAAAACCCTGTCTCAAAAAAGAGGGTGTTGCTAAGGACGTAGCTCAGTGCAAAGGTTCTTGGTTCAATCGCTGTCTGTTAATAAATAAATAAATACTTGTTTCCTTTCGTTGGTTTGTGGTGCTGATGCCTCCTGCGACCCCGCTGGCTGCTCCAAGCCTGTAGACGAGGGCTCTGTTCCTCAGGAAAGCTGGGGGGCTATGGAGAGATAGTCCCACTTGGGGACAGCAGGAGGCTGTGCAGTGTGCCTGCAGGGGCCACCTTGTCCCCACTGGGAGACCCCAGTCCTGGCTCCGTGGCTGAATTCTCCTGAGGACCTTGGGAACATGAGAGAGCAACAGAGGTGACCAGCAGTGTTGGTTTCCAACATTTGCAAGAAAGCGAGAGACTTAGAGAGAGGCCCTGTAAGTACTGCAGGTGGAACCCAGGGCCACACACATGCTAGGCAAGTGCTTACTACTGAGCTAGAGCCCCATCCCTTTTAAAAATTTTTAAACAGAGTTTTGCTAAGTTGCTTACGCTGGCCTCAAACAGGATCTTCCTGCCTCAGCCTCCTGAATAGCTGACATCATAAACTAGGCCACAGATCATGAGCCAGGGTGTAAGGGCCTGTAAAGGAGGTTCTTACAGGTAAACTCCATGAAGTTTCCTTTAAAGCAGAACAAGAAAACAAGACCGTCCACTGACCCAAGTGAAAGCTTATTAGAACACACCTCGTTTTCCAGCTCAGGACCAAGGGACAGGCTGTTGTCTAGTTTTTAATTTATTGTGAAGATTTAGGTTCAGAATTTATGCTTTTTCAAACAGACCAGGACCTGCTTGACAAGGGTGATTGAAAACAATGTGTGCCCTGGCTCTGGAAGAGGGCCTTGTAGCAGAAAGGAGAGGGCTGAGACTGACCGGGATGTCCCATGTGCCTGAATGGACTTGTTCTCAGAAGAAAAGCAGGAGTTCCCAAGGACAGCAGGACTCACCAGGAACCAGCAGTTGCCAAAGCAGTGGCTTCCCCAGGTCACCCGGGCACAGTGGTCCCAGCCCCTGGCAGCTCCTCAGTGGCATTTACATACAAGGACATGGGCATGAAAGATGTCCCTGTCACTTCTGGCTGAGTCCCGGGGGAGGATTCTTTCTCTTCCACATCTCAACTGGTCTCTCCTCCCTCCACTGTCCAGGTTGCCATGGGGATAGCCCCTCACCCCTCTTCCCTCCCAAGCAGGCATTCACTTTGGGCTTCACCACTCGGGGTCTACCCCTTGCCCCCTCCTACCCAGGCTGCAGGAAACAGAAGTGACCCTAAGTCAAACCGAGTCCCTGAGAACTCTCTGCCCCTCAGCCCACTGTGGCCAGGACTCTGCTCCTGAGGCCCCTCACCATCTGCTTTCTCTCCCAAGGCCCAGAGTGGGCACTCAGCACACGGGCCAGGGCCCTGTGCCCCCTCACCAATGCAGAGGCAGATGGGTCTCGGAGGTGCCCACCCATCTGCACAAAGAACCTGTGACTGAAATATGGGAGACATTGCCATTTGTCCTGTATCCTGGGGATACTGGGGTCCCAGATAGCCCATCTAAAATTCAGCACAGTGAGTTGAAGACTGTGGGGGACTTGGGTTGCACCCGGCCAGGTAAAAAGGCTCAGTCAGGTACCTGGTCAGCTGACGGTCCCCTCCCTCCACAGAAGCCTGGAGATGCCACTGCATTCCTCTGATGTCCCAGGTGGGGTGCCACCATGCATGTGGTAGAACCCGAGCTCAGGAGGTATCTGGGGATAAGTCGAGGGTCTCCTCCTGCTGCGGTCTTCGTGGCCTCTGAGAGTCAGAGCAGGTATCCAGCAGGGTTGCCAAGTGGGGGACAGGCCAGTGCCGCTGTGTCGGGAAGGAAGGGCCCACAGCTGTCCCGCATTAGCCGCATTAGCCCTTTTAGCAAAGCAAGACAGCGGAGCCCCCCCATCCCCCGACCCCCCGCCAAGGACGTTCCGGGGTCTGACCCCCACTCCAGCCCCGGGAAGAGGGTGCTCCGCAGTGGGGATGGAGGAGGGCCGCCTGGACCCGGGGCCGGGTTGGGTGGGGAGGGGTTCACTCTCCAGACCCGAGGTGACGGGCTGCGGAGGGTGCGGGGCTCCCCGCTGCGACGCGCACCCCGGGGGAGCGGGGTTCCGGTGGCCGCGGGCAGGAGGCGGCGCTGAGCCCGGTGACGCATAAATAGCGGTGGCAGCGACGTCTCGGGCCGCGGACTCGTCGAAGGAGCCCGGCCGCCGCTTCCCTCTGCAGCCGCGCCATGCAGTGAGCGCCGCCGACCCGACCCGACCCGACCCGACCCGACCCGACCCGACCCGACCCGGCCCGGCCCGGCCCGGCCCCCGACACCGCCGCCCGCATCCCGGCGCAGCCGCTCCGGGTCCCCGCGCGGTGCCGTCCGCGCTCTCGCCCCGGCCACCCGCGGGCTCCGGGCCTCCCGCATTTCCCGGCCCGCCGCCGGCTGCCCCAGATGGCCAGGCCCGGCGCCCTCCTGCTCCTCTCGCTCCTGCTCGTCGTCGCGCTGTCGGCCTCCTCGACGCTCGGGTTCCCGGTGAGTGCGGGACGGCGCCTCCGCGAAGGGGAGAAAGCGCACCCGCCGGGGTGCAGGCTGAGGCGCAGGCCGAGCTCCGCCGCCTGGGGGGGGGGGGAAGGGGTCGGGGGACCCGTGGCCGAGGCGCTGGGGCCCACGGGACGCTTTCTCCCGCCGGGCGCCCGGCCACCGCAGCACCCCGGGGACGGCCGCACCCCAGGCAGCCCCTGGGGGGAGTTAACGCCAGCCGGTGCTTTCTCCCGCATCTGTGGGTCCTGCAAAAGCCCGGGTGCAACAGCGCCTGTCACTTGGAGAAGGTGAACGAGGACTTTCTCAGGCTTCACGCCTTGCTGTGCCTGAACGCCCTGGGCGCCCCCCACTCTGGGCACCCCCTCTCTGACTCTCTGACCCCCTTTTCTCCACCGAAGGCAAAGGAGAAGAGAGGCTGGACCCTGAACAGCGCCGGCTACCTCCTGGGCCCGTGTAAGTGACGCAGAGTGCAAGGTGGCTGCCCCCGCTCCTCAGTTTAGTTCCAGTCGGGGCGAGGAAGGGGCGTTTCCCTGAGACTGAGCCAGCTCGGAGCGTCACCTGCCTGTCCTATCCACAGCAGATCCTTCCTCCTCCTCTCCTACCCGTTCCCCTCACTGGGATTCTCCGGAAGCTACACACCCCAGCTTTGAGGTTCCTCATTCTCGGGGAGCCTGAGGGTGCCCTTTTGCGTTGCATCTCACCCGCAGTCCTGAGGCCTTCCTCTGCCTGGCTCCCTTCTTTCCTTCATCTCCCGAGGGAGCCTCCCCGCTCCAGCACCTCCTCAGGCCACCTGGAAATCTCGGCATCCCTTGGGGTCCTGCACATCCACCCGAGCAGAAGCTTCTTTCTCTGGCTCCCACACTGCACCCTCCCACCCCCAGAGTGACCCCTACCCCAGGCTTTGCCCCAGCTTTCTGGGGCTTTCCTGTGCTCCTGAGGGCTCCTCGGAGCTCTGTTTGGGGGAGCCTCCCTGGATACCCTCACCCACTCTGTGGTTTTCAGAGTACCCCAAAACCAGCTGGCCTCAGGTGCCAGCTCCATCTCAGGTCTGTAAGCTCATCGTGGAAACTGCCACTAATCTTGCCCGAGGCCCCAACACCTCCTCTCAGAATTAAATTCAGAGTGCTTCCACCCTGCTCAAGCTGGTCCCTTCTCCCCTCTGTCCCCAGCCGCCCTGCCTCCAGGGCCTTGCCCTACTGTCCCTCTCCTGGCTGCTATTCTGCAGTCAGAGTCTGTGTCTCACACACCCTCGCGGCTTTGACAGGTGTAAGCGGGACTCACAATACCGAGAGCCCCCACAGCCGCTGCCACCAGCACTCACTCTGCTTTGAAAGCTGAGTTTGGGGTGATGTAGAATCAAGAGGGCTTTGGTCAGTTACAGCGAGTGTCAGTCAGGCCTTGCCACGGTGGTGGCAGCAGTGGTGGTGATGGTGTAGACATCTCTGAAGTGTTGTTTTGAGCCACATCCATCAGTATCCAGCTTCTGCCACCCTCGGGTGGACTAACATGGTGTCTGTCCTCCTGTCTGTCATTGTGTGGAGCAGCATGAGGTGCTGTTAGGGAACCCCTGCTGAAGACTCTCCTTGTCAAGGAGCTGTTGGGGACTTTGGAGATCCCCTACTTTGATGGAGGCCAGAGAGAGGCATGCACCGGGGAGCCAGGCCCTAAGTGCACCCTGCCCTCCCCTCGCCACCCGCCCCTGGTCTCTGCCCCTTGCATGCCCTTGGTCTTTGCCGTGCTGCCTTTGCACTTGGGTTATTCCAAGGGAGGTGATGAGGGGAGACCGTGGCACCTCCTCCCACTCAATTCCCTGCTCATCTCTTACCTAGGGTGGTGTTCAGTTCGTAGGCATGATCAGATTTGGGCCAACTGTCTACCTTTAAAAATATCCCTATTTCCTGCCCCTAACCTCAGAGCAGGAGATGAACAGTGCATTCCGCAAATTCCAGGCCCACCAGAGGGAGAGGGACGTGTGGTGTGGTTTTAAAACCCTCAGGAGAGGAGGGCCCTGCATCCCAGTGTTAGGAGTGGGTGGCTTCTCCTCCTGCAGGCGTTTGTTTTCGAGGAAGGCAAGCGTAGAGCTGACAGAAAATGCCTGGGTCAGGACCACACGTAGTCACCTGTACCATGTCCTGGGACCCCTTCCCTGACACCCAGAGGAGTGGTTCAGGGCATCTCCTGTCCTCAAGCCTGTGCCACCCTGAGTTCCACTCCTTGCTAGGCCCAAGAGAAAGGAAGAACCCTCAGGAGAGTACTCAGCCCTCCTGTGGGGTGTGGAAGATGTATTTCTCAGATGGCATTTTGAATCATGACTAGAAAACAAACTCGTGGTCACTGTTAAGGTCGTGTGGCTGCCGGGCTGGGTCTGCAGATGTGCGAGTGTGGGGGATGAGCAGCTGTGGGGTGCGCTCTGTGTCTGTGAGGTCCCATAGCTCTGAGCTGACTCTGAAATCAGGCTGCCTCATTCCTCTGTCCGTTTAGCACTGAGCACTCTGTCTCTGGGAAAGTGGATAAATATCCCTTCTCCTGGTCTTGTGGATGGTGCAGCCCACCCAGGCCAAGTAGCCAGGAACTCTGAGCCTCGACCTCATTCTCCTTTTCTATTTTATCTCTGAAATGCACCCCATCTATCTCAGCCACTCCTCCCAGTGCCACTGGGGGGCTTAGTGTCCTTGTCATTCTGACCTAGATCAGAGCTCTCTGCTGCAGTCACAACACCCCCCCCCCCGCCTCCATTTTCACACACCACACACACACACACACACACACACGCACTTGCCTTGTCTCCCTCCTTCCCTTCCCCAGCCCTTCTTCCTGCTGGGACCCAGCACCTGTCTGAGAACCGTGCAGATGGTCACATTTCCCCAGGGCCCACCTCCTTACATAGGGTGCCGAGGAGATGACCTGCCCTCTCCTGCAGTTTCAGACCTTGGCTTATTTTCATAGTCCAGCTGTTCATGTGTTTCAGTTGTGAGCAGCTGTGTGTCCCTGGAGGGTGGGGAGGCTATGTGTCACAGTCATGGCAATCGGTGCCTCCCCCTCTGATCCATGAGCAGATGCCATCGACAACCACAGATCGTTTAGCGACAAGCATGGCCTTGCCGGCAAGCGGGAGCTCCAGCCAGATGGCGATGTTCAGACAGGTGAGTGTCTGGGTCCCCTTCAGCCCCTCACCTCCTAGGTTATGCCGTGGGCACTGCCATGGCCTCAGCCCGGCCTGGCTGTGACTTGACTAGGACCACGTGACCTCATCACATCTGTCATTTGCCAGAGATCAAAGCAGTGAGGCCAAGAGTAAGGATGCGGTGCAGCTGCAGGGACAGCAAAGGAGGTGGCCGGCCAGGGCACTAGGCCAGGCAGGGGCTGGCCTGGCTTGTGTCCCCCGTGGAGCTGGCAGGAACCAGCCCTGGAAATGCAGAGGGCCCCTGGCTGGCTCCCTGGCCTTGAAGACCCCAGCTCCTCCCTAGGATGGCTGACGAGAGAGGGGGACAGGGGTAGAGGTCCCCACGGTGCCGGTGCTGAGTGTTGGTCTTTCCTGCCTTCTAGGGAGCTCCGACAGGCTGTTGCCTGAGAGCAGCATCGTGCGCACTGTAATTGAGTTTCTGACTTTCTTACATCTCAAAGGTATGTGAGGCACCACTGATTTAAAATGCCACTTGGGGCATTTGGGGGAGTTGTAGCTTACGGAAGAGCATTTATTTGTTCTATCCCCAGCACACACGCACACGCACAGAAAGAAAGAACATGTCATCTTTTAGAACCTTGGCCACACAGAGTCCATCAAGAAAGGATCTGTAAGTTGGATGTGGGATCCCTTAGCCTGAGATTTCATTATCAGGCTGGTCAACATAGCAGAAATCTCAATTCAAAACAAACAAGCAAGCCAGCCAGACCTGATGGGGCAGGCCTATAATCCTAGCACTTTGGGGAGGCTGAGTCAGGATTGCTAATCTGAGCCCAGCCTCGACAATTTATGTCTTAGCATAAGAAAATGTCCTGGTTCAGTTTCCACTACTGAAAAGAAGAACGCAAAAAAAGAGAAAGGGTCTGTAGAATGCCCCTGGGAAGCAATGAGTTCCACTGATCATCACGGGAAGTGTCCTGCACAGCCGTTGCTAGGATCACAGGCACGTGACCGGTGTGCTGGGGCCAGGATTTCACCACAGCTGCAGCACCATCACCACAAGAGTCAGCAAACCAGCGCTGCTTCCACAAAAAGAGTGGGGCTTCGGGCGCCCATATTTATTGGCATTGTGACAGTTGCTGTGCCCGTGAGGACAATGCTCGGCCACAAGCCTGGGGTCTTTAAGAGGCCATCTGAGCCATGTTCCGTGGGCATGGGAACTAAGGGGCCTGCAGGGTTCCTCATGCAGCTTTCTTGCAAGCCAGGCTGCCTTTGAATCCACAGCCTTCTCGGTTGGTCCCTGGGTCAGAACTGCAGAGAGGCCCACGTGGCCAGCAAGGAGGGGACTGACTTTCCAGACTCATTTGGGTGTCCCATTGTCCCATTGTCATTAAGTTTGGCAAGGTCCAGGCTAACACTTGGATTCTCCTATTGATTTTGTTTGTTATAAGTGCCCTGGTTGCAGGACCCGGAGGATTTGGGGAGGGGCTGGAGGGTTTAGGGGCTATAGCTCAGTCCTTAGACCCATCCCAGGCAGGAAGTGTGGGAGGGGGACTTGGAAACCACGGTGTTTGCTCTACAACCCTAAACTGAGGGGTCCCATCCCTCTGTGGGGGCCTCCGGGAGCCTTTTCCTGTGAGGAGCTGATTGGTGCTGCTGGGCATCTATGTATTTTAGTCTTAAATTTTGAGACGTGGAAATTCTCTGATTAGGAAACACGAGTTTTTCTAAGCAGCAGTTCTTGAAAGCATTAATGCAAAAGCCTGACAGCGTCCAACACTCAGTGCGTGAGTTAAGTCATCAAAAGGACAGAAATGCAAGGTGCTGAGCCTAAGTCAGGGTGTTGTCCTGAATCCTGGAGGGCAAGCCCATGTCCCTCCCAGGTGACACCGTGTGGAGCGCTTTTCTGTAGGCCTTGCTACCTGTGGTTCTTTCCTCTGCAGAGGCCGGGCTCCTAGGCAACCTGCCGGGCATCCCCTTGGCAGGGTCCCCCGAAGATATGGAGCAGTCCTGAGCTGACACCTTTCCCAGTGTGGTCGTCTGTGCTGTGTTTAAAGTCACCTTAAGATGAGGATAAACTTATGCCAACTTCCGTGATTCATTTCTGTTCTCTGCTTTGACTCTGTGTCGTCACCATCGAAGCCTCTTCTTTTGTAATTATTTTGAGTGACAAAATAAAAAATAGCAACCACTTGGGATTTTCTGATTCTTCCACCCTTTAATCTTAAGGCTGTCATCCCCAGTGCATCTTAAAAGGTGAATCTAGATGAGAGTCATGGATAAATCCCATACCGAGGGCTGAGTCACCGCTTGCTTTGTGTTTAAGGAACATAGAGTTCTGTCACTATGAGGCTGAGTTACATGTGCTCGGAGGGTAAGTGTGTCACTGAGCTGAACAAACACACAAGCTGACCGACCTCCCTGCCCCTGCCCCTGCCCCAGAGCAGCTGCTCTTTAGGGGACCGAGTACCCCGGGTCCAGGGGGTAACTTGTACAGATGTGTGCACGAGGAGGCTGCAGAGGAGAGCGGGCGGGTAGAAGGCAGAGACAGGGGCAGAAAGGACACACGTGAGATCTATTGTTCCAGCTATTTGGGAGGCCGAGGCAGGAGAATCATTTGAACACAAGAGGTCTAGGCCAGTTTGAAGAACATAGTAAGACCCCATCTCAGAAGAAGGAAAATTCAGAAAACAGGCCCAAAAAAAGGAGCCAGAGATCATTCTGGTAAGTGGACAGGTGACATGCAAGCTGGCCCCTGCTTACCAAGCACACCCTTCTCTTGGGTGTCCCCAACAGTAGGACTCAGGAACCTGAGCCCCAGGAGGCCCACTGACCTCTGCAGTCAGTCTGGGGACAGCTTCCCTGGGTGATGGCCAGGGCAGTCACACCCAAGGGTGAATCCTGCACCAAGGGACACATAGCCCTTGTTTCCCTGTCCCTGCTCAGTGAGACTCTGGACAGCTCCGCTGACCTTTCACCAGCCCCGCTGCTCTCCCCTGCCTGCCCCTGCTTCCACTCACAAACCTTAGCCACTCTGGCAGCCACCAGACATCCGGGTCCCTGAGGCCTGTCAGAGCCAGGAGGCTGCACGGGCCACACTGAGTCCCTCGCAGCTGCTGCTGCTGCTGCTGCTGCTGCTGGTTGGAGACAAGGCCTGGGCTCCTCTCCCCAGCCCTGTGGCCTGCAGCCTTCCGGTCAGCAGAGTCTCTCACACCATGCTGACGCCCTGAGGACCCAGCAGCCTGTGCCAATTGCTCCAAGCCCTGGTTCCTGCAGGGCCTGTGCCCCCAGGCCTGGGGGTGTTGGGGGCACTGCCCTGGCCTTCCAGCCTCCAGACAGATGTGCAGGGCCTCCCTGGCTCCAGCAGCTACTCCTTTTCCAGGCCTTTCCTTCCTTTCGGGAATAAACAGGACGGGAGGCAGTGGCAGGTGGCAGCCAGGGGAAGAAAGAAACAGCTGGGGGACAGCTGTGGTGCCATTTGCTGCCCAGCCAAGAGATTGGTGAGGTGACAGTTCTCAGAAAAAGCCTCAGAAGGTGACTGCTTCCCAGAGAGAATACACTAGAGCTGGTGACAGCTCTACTGGACCATTTCACACACGATCGTGCTGTAAAGTAACTGTTCTGCATGATGTCACGCACAGTGACCATCTGTACAGTGGCCATTCCGCATAGGGACAGTACAGCTGGTCACTGGTATTCACAGTTTCTGTGTCTTCTTGACTCACAATGGCAAATCAGAAATAATCAAAAAATAGAAAACTACAGCCAGGCTTCGTGGCACACGCCTGTAATCTCAGCTACTCGGGAAGCCGAAGTAGGAGGCCTACAAGTTCAAGGCCAGCCGGAAACTTAGCAAGATTCTATCTGAAGATAAAAATCTTTTAGAAGAGAGTAGATGTGGTGTAGTGGCTAGCGATGTGAGGCCCAGCACCACAAAAAATAATTTTTAAAAACCCTACAAATACAAGTACCTACAAGGGCCGGAGATTTAGCTCAGCAGCATGAGTATCTGCCTGGCAAACACAAGGTTGTGACTTCGAACCCCCGTACCAAAAAGTAAAAAAAATTACATAGCACATTGTATTAGGCATTAACTATGGAAATCAATATGGAGATTCCTTAAAAAAGTGCAGAATAGAAATTCCACTGACCCAGCTGCTCCCCTTCTAGGAATCTGTGCAAAAGAGTTAAAGGCACCCTATCACAGTGGTTTACCCAGGTACGTAGAGCACAATTCCTGTCAGCAGCGGGTGTACACAATGGAGATGGCTCTGCTCTAGGGAAGGGCAGATCTGAGGCACCTGTAGGACACAGGATGCACCTTGAGACCATAGTGCTACGTGAACTAAATGCGAGACAGACAGTTAAATACTGCACGGTTTCTCTTACGTTAGAAATCAGAATTATTGGTGCTTAGCGGCATCAGCGCCTGCCTGGCAAGAGCATCTTGAATTCAATTCCTAGAACCAAAGGAAAAAACATAAAAAATTATAATTTAGAGAGAAAAATAAAAAATAATAGGGAGCTGAGTGCTAAGATTGTGTAGAGATGGGAACGGGCTTGTGGGATGGGGAAGATGAGAGCGCGGGCAGGGATACACACAAACGCCCCAAACCAGGGCACTCATTATGTGTTGGAAGCATGGACCACTGAAAAGGGAAATGTATTTGGTGTTAAAGCAATCACAGATGGCTGACGGCACACAGGAGGATGTGTGTACGTTATGGGCAGACCCCACGCTGTCTTCCCTGTGGGACCTGAGCATGAGGAATTCAGTGCTGAGGGGCGGGGGAGGGACCCTGGAGCCACCTCTCGCTGGCACTGGGGGACACTGGATGGCTTTTACCTCTGACTTTCGGCCACAGAAGCTGCATCCCCAAAGTCAAGAGGGGATTGCAAAGGCCAAGACTGGAGCCTCTCTTTCCCCTCTCTGGCTGCAAGGCTGTTCTAGACTCAGCGCTAAGATGCGTCACGCTGTCTCGGCCTCCCGGCGTGGCCAGCGCTGGCTGCCCCTGGGTGAGGCCCTAGTGCTCTGTCATCTGTTAGTGGCTGAGACATTAACAAACCCAGACACATGAAAGAACACTTTTAATCTATTTCAGGGTGGGTATTAACAAGACAAACACATTTTCAGTTATCATGTTAATTTTAACAACTAAAGGCCTTGGAAATTTGTATTCTCTTTCACTTTTTCAATAGAACCTAAAGATACCACAAGCAGCCTTCCCTGCTGGTTTGTGCGGGCTACTCACTCTGACATTTCTTACAAGGAATAGGATCGTAACGATCATTATGGATAAATGAAGCGAATAACAAGCTTTCCCACAATTTAAGTAGAAACACATAAGAAACTGAACACAATTTGAACTCCATGACCGAAGACTCTTGATGTCATCCTGGCCTTCACTGTGCCCTGTGATTCTGGGGACTATCTCCACTGCAGAAATCCTAGGGTATTTAGTGGACCGATGTACAGACTTAAATTGTATCAAAGCAGCCCCTCTGGAGAATATATTTTAAATAATTTGAAAAAAACAAACAAACACAACCAAGAACCACCCCACTTCCTGACATGGGCAGGCCCGGAGGACCATGCTCTGGACCGATGGCAGGAAGCCAAGCTCGCCGCTGTGCAGATGCAGGGCGCATAGCACACCTCCTCACACAAGGCCGCCCTCCCTCCGAGCGCCTGCGTGAACCCACAGCCTCCCATGCGAGAGCTGGGTCCCAGCCAGACAACTGTCCAGGCGCCTCGTGCTACTCTAATGACAGCGCTAGGTCACGCTTGACTACAGCGTATTCGGCTCGATTTTCAGCCCCTTGCACTTGAACTCAGTGTGAAGAATCTGTGATAAGCATCGCCCGAACTCCTCCAGGATCATTTGCTCGGCCAGGCACTGTGAGCAATGGTCCTTCTCGGCCTCCTCGCCCTGGGCCAGCAGGCAGGCGCACGCAGCCTCCACCACCTCCCAGGAGATGCAGGAGAAAGGCCGCCTGGGGAAGAGACCAGAAGACTGGTTAGGACTGCGCCGGGAACCTGCTTTCTCTGAGTACTTTTTCTCCTTCTACTTGTCCCCCCCCCCCGCCCCCGCCCTTCCATCCCCTTTCTCTTCTTTCCCTCTGGTGGCATTGGGAACTAAACCCAGGACCACTACACTGAACTGCATCCCCAGTCCTTTTTAAATTTTGAGGACCCTATAAATACCAGAAGCCAGCGTCATGAAGGCTCTTTCTCCTTTTGCCTGGTCTCCAAGTCAGCATCTCCGGAGAATCAGCCAAGCTGGAATTTGGGGGACCAACCAAGAAAGCAATGAGCTCTCCTTCCTGGTCAACAGTCTTATTCTGTAGCTTGAGAATAAACTGTAAAGTCACAGAGTAAAATTACCACCTTTGGTCTACCCCCAGCCCTGTCCTATTTTAGTTGGGTGATATTAGTGCCAAGATGAAAAATCCAAGGCCTTGATTTCTGGCAAAGAGGGCAGATAGATAAGAGCAGAATACAGAGGCTCCCTGAGACAGACAACTCAGATGCCAAAATTGAACATCATGGGGAGGTTCAGAGAGAGGAAGATGGATCCTCTTGACTTAGGAAGGGAGCTAAACAAAAGGGAAAAAATCCCATCAAACATGCGGTCCCGGGCTACTATTGGAGCAACTAAGATTCGGTGCTCCTGCTGCAGTGCTCGAACTCACAAGGCCACGATTCATCAAGCCGCCCGAATTCCCGCTGCTTTGACTCCCTGGAACCGCAGTGTTGCAATGAAGTGTAGTCACACTGGTCTGAGGGAGAACGGAGCTGGCAAGGGACCTGGACTGACCTGCGGTGAGTGCTGAGAATAAGACCCTTCCACGGGAAAGGGGCACCAACAAGACAACGTTTTGGAATCGGGCAGGAAGGGCAGAAACAAGGAACAGCAGAGACTTCAGTCAGTTGTTCCCTTCCCAGACCAGATTGGAGGGGTATACTTGGCCTGGGTCACACCCCTGGCTGAGACCAAATAAGTTGTCCCACACCAATTTCCTATGTGGTGCACACTACCACAGTGAAGGCCTCAGCAGGTTGACTGGCCCAGAGGGGAGGGGCCAGCACACGCTGCCCCTGTTTGTACCCCAATAGCACACTGGAGTGGGCAGAGAGCCCTAGCCAACGCACTTCAGAAGAACCATAACTAACAAGGAAAGGGACTGGGACCTCCTCTATATGCCTGTATGAAAGAAACCAAAAACATGACAAGAGGAAGAAACAAGAAAAAGTCCCCAGTTCCCAACCCTGAGAACATTGATCCAGGAGAGGTAAATACAAAAAAGACTGAGGGCAGCAAACATGCAATATCAGACAGGGCATCAGTGGACATAAAAAGGTATCTTCAGGACCTCATAAACAAGCTCAAAAGTGAAATATTTAATCAAGTAAAGATAGATATAAGTAGATTAATTTAAAAATGCTAAGCACTTCTCAAGAAGACACAGATGGAAGAATGGAGGAACACACAAAAAAGAGAGAAATGTTCAATGAATAATAAAAAGAAAACATGAAGCAGGTTCAAAAACATTACCAGGAAATAAAAAGCTCCATTGAAAGCTGGCAAAACTGCTTGAAAGAAACTAAGGATAGATTATCCAAACTGGAGGACAGGTTTGCAATGTGGGATCATGAAAGGAAAAATCTCTTGGGGCTGGGGATTTAGCTCAGCGGCATAAGCGCCTGCCTTGCAAGCAGGCAGTCGTGAGTTCCACCCCCGGTACTGATAAAAATGAAAAAGACAAAAAAAAAAAAAAAAAAAAACCACACACACACAAAAGCAAGGAAACAGACAGTAACAATACAAAGGCTAGAACATGACAAGAGAATCTATAACTTAAGAATAAAGAATGTGAATGAAGAAGCAGGGGTGCAAACAAAGAAACTACAAAGGCTATTCACAGAAATAATTAAGGAAAACTTCCCAAATATAGGAAAAGGAAATGATATGCAGATGTATGTAGCACACAGAACTCCAGCTACCTACAACCAAAACAGAATTACACCCAGGCATATAATAATCAAGATCTCAGAAATCCAATATAAAAACAGAATATTAAAAGCTATTAGAGACTTCCGGGAGAACATGGCGGACAAATAACAGCAGCCACAGAGGCTCTCTGAGATTACCAGTTTAGAATCCAGGAGTGGTGCCATGTGAGGAGTCCTACGTGAGGGGAGATGTACCCTGCCGACCCAGGAACAAACTAAGCTGAGAGAAACCAACTGGAAATGCAATCCTGATGCTATAACAGCAACAGATAAAATTTCAGTGCCGGAGCTGGATCCTGCACCATTGGAAGCCGCGATTTGAATTTCCTGCTGTTGATGCTACGTCCCAATCCGCATGGCAGAGAGAGAGGCATGTGAAAGCTCTGAGAGCTGAAATCGGCGAACCAAACGGCATTGAGAGTGGGACTGGCAGGGAGCCCTGCATCGACCTGCAGTGAGTGAGACAAATGGGGACCCTTTCATAGACTAGGAGGCTCCAACAGAGGACATTCTGGGACTGGGCAGACTAGCCAGAACAAGGCCCTGCAGTGACTTTAGTTGCATATTCTCCTCTCAAGAGGGAGTGGTGGGGAAGGCTTGGCCTGGTGACGCCGCAGACTAAGATCCAGTAGGCTAGCCCAATTCAGGTCCCTGCGCCTGGCGGTGCACCCTAGCAGTGAAGAATTCAGTAGGTTGACCTGGAGGGGCGGGCCCATCAGAGGCTGCCCAGGTCTGTGTCTCCCTAGTACACTGCAGTGAGCAGGAACACCTAGCCGGCAGATTCAAACAAACTGTAACAGACAAAGAGAAAAAAACAGGGCCTCCTACATACGCTGTATGAAAGGAGCATGAAAGGGAAAAGGGAGCAACAAGAAAGGGTCCTCAGTCCCCAATCCTGAGAACACTGATGCAGGAAAGATAAATGCAAAAGAGAATGAAGACAGAAAACATGCAATATCAAACACGGCACCTATAGACATAAAGCAGTATCTCGGGAGCCTCATAAATGAGTTCAAAAATGAAGTATTTAATGAAATAAAGCAAGAAATAAGTAGAATAGTTAGAGAAATGCTAAGTACCGCCCAAGAAAAAACAGATGGTGGCATGGAAGAACAGAAAAAAAGGGGAGAATTGTTTGAGGGAGAAAATAGAGAAAACATAGAATACGTGAAACAGAGAGTTCAAAGAGATTACCAGGAAACTAAAAACTCTATTGAAAGCTGGCATAACAGCTTGAAAGAAACTAAGGATAGATTATCAGAACTGGAGGACAGATTTGTAAGGTGGGAGCATGAAATGAAAAACTTCTTAAAAATAACAAGAAAACAAACAGCAACAATACAAAGGCTAGAAGATGATAAGAGGATCTATAACTTAAGAATTAAGAACATAAAGGAAGAAGTAGGGACTCAAACAAATGAACTACAAAAGCTATTCACAGAAATAATCCAGGAGAATTTCCCTAATTTAGCAAAAGGTAAAGATACCCAGATGTATGAGGCATACAGGACCCCAGCCACCTACAACCCAAACAGAGCTACACCCAGGCATATAATAATCAAAATTCCAGAAATCCAATATAAGAACAGAATATTAAAAGCCATCAGGGACAAAAAAACAGTTAACTTACAAGGGAACACCCATCAGAATTACAGCAGACTTCTCGGCACAAACCATCAAATCACAAAGAGTGTGGGGGGAAATAATTCAAGCTTTGAAAGATAATAACCTCCAGCCAAGATTGATATATCCTGCACAACTGTCCCTAGAAATTAATGGAGAAACAAGGTGCTTCCAGGATAAAGAGGAACTAGGGGAATTTGCAACCACCAATTCAATTCTACAGAGATTACTGCAGGATATTCTAAAAATGAAAAATACCAAGATTCCAGAAATAGTGGCAGAGCGGCCACAATGAATGGAACAGAAAGCGAAATGAAGAGGACAAACTGACAACTAATGACAGAAAAAGAGCTCAACAGAAACGAGGCAGAGAAGGTTGGATGGTAGGATGGAGAAAACAAGACATCATAATAGGTAGTGCTGATATAATATCCTCTTGTTTTGAAGTCCCGTCAAGCTTTTGTTCTTCTGTCTCCATTGGTTTTAACGTGTTGAATCTTATTGGATTTTATTATATGTGATAATATAAACAAAAACTTTTATAGACAAGGAGATTATACAGAAGGCATTGTTCATTTTCTGTTAGTTGATTCTAAATACCCTGTAATACTGTCATTCTCTTGAATGGTTTTACATTGTCTTGATATGTTTGATGCTACAGTATACGAAGTTATACCCAAAGATTTTAAGGGAAGAGACACTATGGTAACTACTATTATGTTGAGATTATCTTGTGGTGAAACACTATTTTGCTTAAATGGCTATGTTTTAACCTAACTTAATCTGGGGCCCTGTGTAAGTTATACTGTTTTACCATGACTGATCTTACTTAAATCTGGTTTGCTTGATTGCTGTTTGGTATGGACAGATTTCATTCTAAAGTGTTATGATTGACAGTATCATGACTGAGAGTATAGGCAACTACACTGAAGATGACAACATTTACTAGGATACCCATTCTGGTTTGATTACTACCTGCTTTTGAAGTTTTACACTATCTACAAAGTTGTGTTTTATTAATATTGTTATGTACTGCTATATTCAATTATACTATGTCTGATGATATAGACAATTCTATACCAGATAACAAGAGACAACACAGTAACCATGGTAGAACACCTTGTACAGTGGTTTTATATGACTTTTTCGTTTCATGTGTTTATAGGAATATGTTTTGTTTTGTATTGCTTTGTTTTGCTTCTCCCTCTAATATAGAAAGGATAGAAATACATGTTAAGACTCATGCATGTGTAGAATCTATAAACAGTTTATGAGAACTGATCTTATGACAGTTGATGAAATGAACAGATACTCTGAAGAAAAGGAGACACTAAAACGCCCAGTGCTGATTCTGGAGTGTCATAATGGGAAACCCAGCAATAGTGTTATTCTTTGTTCAGAGTGATATTAGCCTGCTTTGGTTTGTTTAATCTCAACATAATTGAAGATATGGATAACTGCATGTGTGTTTAAGTGCATAGGATTGACAACCATGTTACTAAGTTTTTGTTGGACAGCTGAACAGAACTGTTTGCAGTCTTGCTTTTGAATTCCCACTTTACATGTTCCATTCTTGTATCCTGAACAACTATTTGTAAAATGACAGTATATAATCATCAACTAGCGATTTCTTTCTGTTTATTTTTTTCTCTGAATGTATGTATTATTTCTACCTATTTTCTGTTTTGTTTAATCTTTCTTTAAATAAAATTTAAAAAAAAAATTTTTTTTGAGACAGGGTCTTGCTTTTAAATTTCGCAGCATGGGCTCAAACTTGCAATCTTGCTGCCTCAGCCCCCCAGAGTGCTAGGGTTAACAGTCCTGTGCCACCATACCATCTTCTAAGAACACTTTCTACTCTGCAGAACATTGCTTTTCCATGCCATGAAGAACGCAGTCATGGGCATGACGTCTTCCGTCAACATAAAGGGTTGTGATGGGAAGAATAACACAGAGGACAGGCCAGTCTCTCAGCTGCTGGACACTCGCCTCCAAGAAAGGTCTGACCTTACAATTGTACCCACCCACCAACCCGGGGACTCCTAGGAAACGGTGTCACTCCTTGGGCCAGGCAGAAGCAAGTCCAGGATCCAGTGTGGGGGATCTCGGTTGCCTGCTGGCCCTTCTACCATTGTCCATCATTAGGGCTGTGAGAGCACCCCACACACCCCCATGATACTGGGTATTTTATCAGGATATGACCTATTACATGGAACTCAAATTTTTAAGTGAATGAATCAAGTCTAATATATAGTAAAATTATTACTCAGCTGTCAAGACCTGCTAGATTATAGTATGGCTCCAAACTCAGGAAATGGGGGCTGCGGATGTAACTCAGTGGTAGAGTGCTTGCTTAGCATGCACAAGGCCCTGAGTTCAATCCCCGGTACCACCAAAAAGAAAAGAAATCATTAAATGGGAAATAGCCAAGAGTCTGGAACCCATAATCGGCACATGAGAGAGCAGTGTGTGTGTGAGGAGCACGGGTCAGTTCTTCGCCCATATGCCCGGCCTAGCTATGTGAGGCAGTGGGCTCCCACTCCCAGGCAGCGCAGGAGCGTGGGAGCGTGGCCCCGGCCAGCTGGTAGCACTTTGGTATCTTAGACAAAGCAGATGAAAAGGCCAGGCCAGGATGAGCAGGGCACAGCTGTTCCACAGCAGTGTCCCTAATGATCCCAGCGTCTCATAAGCAGGGAAGAGCAGCTTCCCTTCCTCCTGTCCCCTGCCACTTGGAAATGGTTTTCAGCTCTCCTCCCATAACCCCGGCAGTTTTGAGCACCTACCTATCTTTTCTGAATTGTGGTAGTTCTGAAATTTTAACTGGTGACAAATGATGGCTGCCTTCAAATTCTCCAGTTTCCATAGATTTCGGCAGATTCATCAGTGTTTTTCGTTCTGGGCTTTCTTCATAGTTTTTGCAACCAATGCATTTGCATATAGAAGAGCACATAATTTTGGCCTGGTAACATAAAATATTTCAATAAAATTAGGTTGCTCTATAAGCCATTGGAAATGACAGCTTCAGGGGCTGGGGGTTTAGCTCAGCGGCATAAGCGCCTGCCTTGAAAGCAGGCAGTCGTGAGTTCGATCCCCGGTACCGATAAAAAGGAAAAAGACAAAAAAAAAAAAAAAAAAAAAAAAAGAAAATGACAGCTTCCACTGAGATTTCAAGTTATTACTTGTGCAACCTGCGATTTTTTTTTTTTTTTTTTTTTTTTGAGACGGGGTCTCACTGTATAGTTCAGACTGGCCTTGAACTCACTTATTTAGCCCAAGCTGGCCTCACAGTCACAGTGATCCTCCTGCCTCAGCTTCCTGAGTGCTGGGATTAGAGGCCTGCACCACCATACCCGGCACGTGATTTTCTTACAGGAAGACAGACAGAAGCAGATGCCAAGAGAAGTGAACGGTGGCAGCATGGAGAGGGGGTGCATTCATACCCCTTGCCAACAGCCAAGGCCGGGGGTGAGATGAGCCTCAAGTGGTGAAGGTGGGGAATCAGCCAACTGCTGGATCAGCCTCTCAGTTTAAAGTAAGCCCCACCTGGCCACGCCACACCAGTGCAGTGGGGACACACGCAGGACACCTGTGGCTGGGAGTTTTCAGGAGACCCTTCCTCTCCTGGGATGCACCTGGAGTCTAGTATTGTAGGGGCCGCAGGACACCTGTGGCTGGGAGTTTTCAGGAGACCCTTCCTCTCCTGGGATGCACCTGGAGTCTAGTATTGTAGGGGCCTCAGCGCACCAGCCTTGGGGCAGCTTAAAGCCGGCACTGCCGACCACATGGGTTTTCCATTTGACCTTTGCTTCTGCCCCAGGATTGCCCTGCATAAGGACAAGGCTGCAGCCCCAAGGTCATCTGCAAGGGCCCAAGGGAACCCGGCACTGCCAGGTGTTCTAACTCAGACGTTGCTCGGGATGTCTAGTCTGCACCAGTGACAGACACTAAAGGACAGTGCTGTCCTCTTCTCTTTGCCTCACACTCTGGCAGTCACTGCCTGGCACAGGCTTAGCCCATGGAAGGGGGCTGGGTCACTGATGGGGGGTTGCCAGAGAGGACGCCCGTGTTGGGAGTGGTTCCCCTGGGTGAGGCCACCCACTGTCGGGATTCTCCATCTCTGCGATAGTTTGGCTATGCTCCTATTCTAGCTGGGCGCTGGAAGGTCTATGTGCCCTGATCTCAGCGTATATTTCTGGGACCAGAAAGTTTAGCCTAAAGCTGACCTTCAGGTACAACCATTTAAAATGAAATTCACAAGTCCCGCAGACCTCAGACAAGCAGAGAGGCTTGTGAGGATGTTTTTCTCACTGCCTCCCTTAGGGACGGCAGTTCCCTCCTGTTCTCTTCCTTCTCTCAACACGGGATAGGAAAAAGCAGGAAAAGAGGCCAAACCTAAAGCGGATGGCGAGTTCATCCATTCCATGAAATCCTGGAGAAAAAGGAAAGGTGCCATCTAGGAAAAGGTCTGCACCTTGCTGTGGGCCCACTGTATCTCTGGTCTCTGAGGCGACTGCAAGCCCAGGAAGAGCCACCTCTGGGCAAGGCTCCCCAGCAGTGGACAGCTGGGGCCCCTAAGGCCCCAGTCAGGAGCATCCTGGCTCTACTCAGCGGGGAGGAGGCATGGTCACCCTCTGGGAGCCACTAAATTGGTGGCCACACGGTCAGCCCACTGTGTGGACCACCAGCTGGAGAGGGCCCAGCCACGGCGGTGGGCATCCCTGGTGGACACCCAGGGTGAAGTACGGGATGGCACCTGGTCCATGGGAGTCCTCGCTTCCATGACTTGATTCATAAAGTCAGCGGCAGCTGAGAAATTAACTCAGGCTGACAGGCGAGCTCCTTTAGAGACCCTGGGAAAGGAGACTGTATTTCTCTTTTTAAACCACAAGCGTGACTGGTTTCTGTTTTTCATGTGCCAGTGCTAGGACCGGCCACTGACCTCATAGCACTCACAGTAATTCTTCAGGCAGCCGGACCGCTTACAGTTGCAGCCTTTGTTGTGACGCGGTTTAACGTCTCCCGACCTGCCTTTGCCAATTTTTGGTTGGAAAGCTTCTGGATTTCTGTCGAGACATACCTACGGTAGGAAACGGAAGCTCCATGAAGCATGTGCTTTGTGCTGAGCACGGTGGTGCAGGCCTCTGTTCCCACACTCGGGGAGACTGAGGCAGGAGGAAGGCAAGTTTGAGCCAAGCCGGGGCAACTTAGTGACTTAGCGAGACCCCGTCTCAAAGTAAAAACATTTAAAAAGAGCTTGAGATGTAGCCCTGGGTCCAATCCCCATACTGCAGGAACAAACAAAAGTCCCCAAAACAAAGACTATGCTTCGTGACTCAGGTGTCTCAGGGGAGGCCATTGGTGAATCCACCGTGATTGGGCCCGGTGGCTGAGTTCCGTCTGGCTCCTGGTCACCAGTGGGCCTCCACAAAGGAGGATGCTGCAATCATGTTCTCTTAGGTTGGGCTCTTTCTCTGCATTTCAAACTCACACATAACTTTGTATAGAAAATTAGTGGACAATAAAGATGAAAAGAAAATCATTGCTTCCATGTGGAGAGACCCTAGACTCCCTTCCAGCATTTCCTGCCCCTTTTCTTAAGCTAACTGATTTTGGGGGAGTAGGGGGTGCACCCAGGGTCTCACCCATGCTAGGCAGCTGCTCCCGAGAGGGATCCCCAGCCTGCCGAGACAGTGAGACCACGGTGCTATGCTCGCAGTATGGGAACACGATTGAATGAACCCCATCTCAAGTGTCTTTCTAGGTGATGTGCACACTTTTTCCTCCCGTGATCCTCTCCTACAAGCTGTTCCTTATAGATAAAGAAACTGAGGCCCAAGAGGCAAAATGAGATAGCAGGCAGCAGACTCTCAAGTCCAGATCCTCAGGCTGACTCCAGAGGCCAGGTCTCGCCTTTCCCACACGATGCTCATGACCTTTGATCCTCATTTGCTCTTACTTTTTAATCTACCTGTCCTGTATCTATCTACACATGCAATTGCATATCTATTTTCAGATAAAAAGTGATTTGTACTCATCCTAGCAATTAAAGCATCACAGAATCACATTGGAGGTCCTGTCTCCCGCCCTCCTGCAGTTACTTAGGAGCCAGGATTCAGATCTGTGCATCCAGCACCGAGGCACTTGCATGTGGCCACAACAGACCACTGTCCCGCTGCATGGCACTGGTCTCCAGTGGGTGGCTTGACCTACAGGTCCTACCATGGAACCGCTTGCATCTGCAAGTGCAGGGTGACAGTCTTGTGCCTGGGCACCACTCCCCAGGGCTATCGAGGGACTCCTTTGTGGCTCCTCCCCATCGTGAAACCCCCAAGAGAGCCACTGTTCAGACTCAGACTCTGACGCTCTACCTCTGCCCTGCTGGGACTTCACCTGGGTGGGGCTCTGCTTCTTTCCTCAGCAGGGTCTGTGACAGTCATTCACACTGCTGTGCTAAGCTGTGCTTCCTTCTGCTCTGTGACACGGAATGTCCCATCAGACCACACACCTGCCATTGTACCAATGATGTGTCCCTTGGATTGGTGGGCTTGTGGTGTTTGGCTATTTCAAATAAAGCTGCTGTGAACATTCTTATACAAATCTTCTGTGGACATTTACATTCACTTTCATTGGCTGTGTTTTTAGAAAAGACATTGCTGGGGCAGAGCACATGCAAGGCTTAGCTGTAGTAGCCATCATCAAACAATTTCCCAAATGTCTGTACCGATTTATATTTCCATTAGCGATACACAAGAATTCCAATGTTTATAATTTTGTACTTTTAGTTGTAGATAATACCCTTTGCTCTAAATAAAATGTAGCTGAACAGTTTAATTTTCTCCTGTCCATGGATCTGGTCATATCAAAATTAATAAGCTATTTCTAAGTGATTTATCCATAATTCAAAAGGGAATTAGTTTATCTAATAAAAATAAAATGAACAGACCAAGCACAGCACAGGATCGCTTGGTTCCACTTGCATCGGGCTGATGGCCTCTCTTTCCTTTGTAAAGTAGAGGCCAGGAAGCGCCTCCCTGCAGCGGGCTGACAGCCCAGCCTAATTGTCCTCCCCTCCCTGATGGCCTCTGTGCTGGAGAGGGCAAAAGCACACACTCCTGCATTTAGCCCACAGCAGAGAGGCCTTAGGCCATCAGAGGTGGTGCCTCCTCCTCCCCCCAGGATTCCTCCTTCCTCCTGGAAGCAGGGATGAAAAACTTCAAATTCCATGAGGGCTGAGCACCCTCCCCAGCCTCTTCACAGACTGTACTCTGCCAGCTCTTTTCACACTATACTCTGCGAACTCAAGCTCACTTGTTACACAGCATTCCCCAAATTTCCAACCCCCAAACCCAAACCAAGTGGACCTGGGCACATCCTTGCAGCAGCTGTCTGGTTTTTCTACACCCCGGAACCATCCCTCATGGGGCAGACAGAGGTCGTCTGCCTGCCATGGTCGTCAGCAGCACCTCTGCTGCAGAAATAGTCACAGTCAGCACACGTATCCTTCTTCCCTTGGGTTTTGCCACTATTGACGTTAGGAATCTCTGGAGATCGTTCTGTGAACCTCTCAAACACTTTTAAATGCCTTTAAAATTGATTACCTTAATGGCGTTAAACCGTTCCATTTCATGGTGTAAATTGTTGCAGCAGTTGTTACAGTTACAGTTGTTGCAAAAGTCCCCACTGGCGAAGCAGTCGCAGTACCTGGGAAGAGACGCACAGTGTGAGCCTGAGTGCAGGTGGCACAGCCAGGCGGTGACAGGAAAGGCAGGTGTGCAGGAAAAGGGTGGCCACAGGGCCTCAGCTAGGATGACTCTGATTTAGGGATTCTGACCACATCACCTGGATGGCGTTCTACAAAGGGAAGCTAGTTATTAAAGCTTGCGTTTGGTGACATGCGATCTTACAAAGTAAAACAGTTTCTTGGAAGTCATTCATTGCTGCCAATTGTCTCCAGCCCCCAAATGCCCTCCGCCATTTTGCCACCAATCTTCCCGATCCATCCAGTTGCCAAAGGGTTGCTCCCCTGTTGACCAGAACTTGACCATGACTGACACAGAGAGAGGGACCTAGCCTTGGCTTCATCTTACTCTCAAATCCATGAGCAGAGGAAACAAGGGAATGCTAGAAAACATAAATGCATAAACACCCGCTATGACGCTTTCTTGTATGAGAGGGTCCTTGGCACATCCTGCATTTGAGTCCTGCACAAGAGAGAATGTCTGGGGCACCCTGTGATCCTTGGGCACGGCTGTGAGCTTCCTTCTATTCACAGCCATGGGCTGCTTCAGATGTCCAGCTGTGCTGTGCGCAGTGGCATCCGCAGGCCTACGCTTCCATTCTCTCCATGTGGACAAGTGACATCCAAGCCAGACTGAGATCCTATATCCCCCCACCCCAAGAGGTGCTGGCAACCTGGTGGCCACTCTGCAGCTTCTGTTTGTGACACCTTGGTTTTTTGTGTCAGTTCTACCACCAACTCTCACCTTCTCTACCATAGGTTGTGTCTGTCAGAATTGCAAGTTGAGGAATGGAAATCATGGCACTTAGCCTGCCAGCCTCAGTGGCCACGCACACTGGATGCTGTCTCAAGGCTGCAAGAGCAGTGTGGGACCAGGTATCTGCAGCAGGCCCTGGCATTAGAAGCCTGAGCACAATTCTTTTCATATTTATTACTTTTGTATTGCTAAGTAATATTTTCCGACTTGGCTCTAGCACATTGCAGAGAGTACTCTATCTGGACAGGCTGCTAAGTGTGAACTTTACAAGCTACAGTCTGTATAAGAAAGGCCCCAGGAGATCCTCAAGCTGTGCAATGGATCTCACTTTGTAGTACAGGCTGGCTTCAAATTCATAAAAACTCGTGGCTGGGGATTTAGCTCAGCGGCATAAGTGCCTGCCTTGCAAGCAGGCAGTCATGAGTTCAATCCCTGGTACTGATAAAAATGAAAAAGACAAAACAAAACAAACTGACTTCCGGGAGAACATGGCAGATAGATAACAGCAGCTATGGAGGCTCTCTGAATAGCCAGCTAAGAATCCAGGAATGGTGCGGTGTGAGGAGTCCTAAGCAAGGGGAGCTATACCCTGCCAACCCAGGAAAGAACTAAGCTGAGAAAAACCAACTGGAAATGCAACCCTGGTGCTATGACCAGAACAGATAAAATCTCAGCGCCAAAGCTGGAACCTGCGCTTCCATTCAGGTTCAAATCTGGAAACCGCTTTCAAATCTGGAAACCACGATTTGAATTTCCTGCCGCTACTGCTGCTGCATCTGAATTGGCACAGCAGGGACAGAGACACAAAAGCTCTGAGAGCAGGAATCGGCGAATGGAGTTAAGAGCAGGACTGGCGGGGAGCACTGCATCAACCTGTGGTGAGTGAGAGGAATGGGGACCCTTTCGTAGACTAGGAGGCTCCAACAGAGAACATTCTGGCACCGGGCAGACTAGCTGGAACAGGACACTGCAGTGACTTTAGTTGCATATTCCCCTCTCAAGTGGGATTGGTGAGGAGCACTTGGCCTGGGTGACGCTGTGGACTAAGACCTAGTAGGCTAGCCCAAACCAGGTCCCAGTGCCTGGCAGTGTACCCTACCAGTGAAGCTTTCAGTAAGTTGACCTGGAGGGGTGGGCACAGCAGAGGCTGCCCAGGTCTGTGTCTCCCTAGTACACTGCAATGGGTGGGAATACCTAGTCGGTGGATTAAAACAAACTGTAACTGACAAAGAAACTGGACCTCCTATATACGCTTGTATGGAAGGAACAAAAAATATTGGAAGAAGCAGCAACAAGAAAGGGTCCTCAGCCCTGAATCCTGAGACACTGATCCAGGAAAGGTAAATGCAAAAGAGAATGAAGACAGAAAACATGCAATATCAGACATGGCACCAATAAACTCAAAGTGCTATCTCCGGAGCCTCCTAGACGAGTTCAAAAGTGAAGTATTTAACAAAGTAAAGCAAGATATAAGTAGAGAGATATAAGTTAGAGAAATACTAAGCACCGCCCAGGAAAAAACAGATGGTGGAATGGAAGAACAGAAAAAAAGGGGAGAATTGTTTGATGGAGAAAATAGAGAAAACATAGACTACGTGAAGCAGGTTCAAAGAGATTACCAGGAAACCAAAAACTCTATTGAAAGCTGGCATAACAGCTTGAAAGAAACTAAGGATAGATTATCAGAACTGGAAGACAGATTTGTAATGTGAGAGCATGAAATGAAAAACTTCTTAAAAATAATAAGGAAACAAACGGCAATAATACAAAGGCTAGAAGATGGTAAGAGGATCTATAACTTAAGAATTAAGAACGTAAAGGAAGAAGTAGGGACTCAAACAAATGAACTACAAAAGCTATTCACAGAAATAATCCAGGAGAATTTCCCTAATTTAGCAAAAGGTAAAGATACTTAGATGTATGAGGCATACAGGACCCCAGCCACCTACAACCCAAACAGAACTATACCCAGGCATATAATAATCAAAATTCCAGAAATCCAATATAAGAACAGAATATTAAAAGCCATCAGAGACAAGAAACAGATCACTTACAAGGGAACACCCATCAGAATTACAGCAGACTTCTCGGCACAAACCATCAAATCACAAAGAGTGTGGGGGGAAATAATTCAAGCTTTGTAAGATAATAACCTCCAGCCATGATTGATATATCCTGCACAACTGTCCCTAGAAATTAATGGAGAAACAAGGTGCTTCCAGGATAAAGAGGAACTAGGGGAATTTGCAACCACCAATTCAATTCTACAGAGATTACTGCAGGATATTCTAAAAATGAAAAATACCAAGATTCCAGAAATAGTGGCAGAGCGGCCACAATGAATGGAGCAGAAAGCGAAATGAAGAGGACAAATTAACAACTAGTGACAGAAAAAGAGCTCAACAGAAATGAGGCAGAGAAGGTTGGATGGCAGGAACAGCCATTTTGGAGAAAACAAGACATCATAATAGGTAGTGCTGATTTAATATCCTCTTGTTTTGAAGTCCCGTCAAGCTTTTGTTCTTCAGCCTTCATCGGTTTTAACGTGTTGAATCTTATTGGATTTTATTATATGTGATAATATAAAACAAAAACTTTCATAGACAAGGAGATTATACAGAAGCCATTGTTCATTTTCTGTTAGTTGGTTATAAATACCCTGTAATACTGTCATTCTCTTGAATGATTTTACATTGTCTTGATATGTTTTATGCTACAGTATAGGAAGTTATACTCAAAGATTTCAAGGAAAGAGACACTATGGTAACTACTTTTATGTCGGAATATCTTGTGGTGAAACACTATTTTGCTTAAATGGTTATGTTTTGACCTGTGCTGTTTTGTTGTTATATCCTCTTTTATCTCAATCTCCTTTTTTATTATTTATTTTTTTATTTTTATGTTTTTAATTAAGGGGAAAAATAAATAAAAAATAGCAGGATATATTACAGTAACCCACTTTGATTTCCTATTAACTTGATTTGAAACCCTGTATTGCTCTCACCATCTTGTTTTGACTGATTTTCCTCTATTCTGTTTTGCTTGATAGTACCAAGTTTGAGGGTATAGGCAACAACTGTAAAGACTCATTATGACTCCTAAGATTCATTATGATGCCCATTCTGATTTGACTATCATCTGCTTTTGAAGTCCTGTAATGTCTCCAATGTTTTGGTTTTATTGGTTCTTCACTGTTTTGTTCAATTTTATTATAACTGGTGATATAGGCAATTCTTTTTAAGATAGCAAGAGGCATTATGGTAATCATTGTTGATCACCTTGTATTTTGTTTGTACATTATGTATTATGTCCATCCTTTTGATTTGACTGACTGTTTTGTTATGTCACATTTGGTTTTATTCTCTTCAAAAAAAGTAATAAGAACTGTAGGAGTAATAAAACCCAAAATGTGTAATTGTCATTGTAAAAAAGAGAGGAAAAGAAAGTGCTCTAAAGGATATAACTGCATGTATATTTCAGTGTATAAGATAACCATATTACTGAGTTTTGTTGGATCATTGAACAGAACTGTTTGCAGTCTCACTGTTTGAATGTCCACTTTATATGCTTTAATTTTGTAACTTGAACAATGATTTCTAAGATGACAATATGTAATCTATTAACTAGTGATTTCCTACTGTTTATTTTTTGTGAAATTCTGTATAACTTGTACCCTTTTTTTTCTCCTTAAAATTTAAAAATTAAATTTTCCAATGCATGTGAAACCACCAAGAGTACAGGAGATCATCAGAGGCCAAAATGACAAGAATTGTGAAGCCAGAGAGGTGCATCTATAGCAACTAAAGATTGTCCTGAGGTACCTGCTGTCCCTGGGGACCCGGAGTTTGGGCTCCCACAGGCTGCTCATGCAAAAGACGGGTGACAAAGTCAAGATGACAGAAGGTGTCAGTTAGTCTGGGGACCCCCCACCTAAATAAGGATCCCTGCAAGACAACACCCCAGTGGGCAAACAGACCAGCTCCTTGAGGGAAGAGTACTGACATCTCCCTTTGGGGAACAGGAGAAACAGGCGGGCCTCTCCTGAGCCCTCTTGGCCACAGGATGGAGGCCAGGGAGGGACACAGTGGCAGAGGGTTCCCAAGAAGCCAGCAGGGAGTGGGACCAAGGATCCCACACCCACAGGAAGAGCTGAGACGTGGCTTCTGGAGACCTGGGAGGTGCTGGCCCAGACCCTTCCAGGTGGAG